CTCATTGCGATAGCTCTGAGGAGAAAAACAGCCGTTGTCGTAATTAACAGCAAACCTGAAACAAACCTCTTTTAATTTGCTGTTTAACAAGTGTTGCTGGGTTAATATTTCATTCAATCAACAATAATAAAATACGCTAGCAGTTGTTTATTTAACCGACTACAAGATGTTGTATCGAGGACTTTACGACGACTTAGTCAGTCAGGTTTCAAGAGCTGAAATATAAGAAGGCAAACTATAATAGGCTGGCGATAATATTTTTAATGTGGTTTCCCGCAGACTCTTTCAAAGTGTAAACAGGTTGGAAAACCAGACAAATTCAGCTGTGTTGTCCTGCGTCGGTCACCAAGCTTCTAATGCATTTGGGGGAAATTGCCGTTCGATTTTTTAGCTAGTCTTTATGCGACTTGGACCTAATTGGAAAATAATACAGTTTTCGCCCAGGTTGTAGACGAAAAGGATCTCACTAATTTTCAGTTTTTGTCGGCACGATTGATTCAAATGTATGACCGCAATCAATATTCAGATTTGTCACTAGACAACCACGTTATCAGTGAAACAATCAGAAAGATAGTTGTACTGTGTAGCTGTTCATTCTTATTATAATCTTCGTTCGCATTTTTTACGCCTTATCCAGCTAGGCTGGCCAATATGCTACAAGACTCCTAAAAAGACTTGGTAATCCAACGTTACACACAGTGCAATATAAAAAATGAAAACTTGGTCCACGGTCAAATATCCGTACATTTTTTTGAGCCAAATGTAGCCTATTGTTTGCATGTTTGTAACGGAAGAAACCGGTTAAACAAGTTAGTTAACCTCAACACAAAACACGGTTCAATGTACGTTTCCCGGGAAAGAGAAAAGTTGGACAATTTCTTATTTATATTGGTACTGTCAATTCAGCAGTTGGAGATCAGAATAATAAAGCAAGTTGAGGCAAAAACTCACCATGGTGACTTTTTTGGCCATTCTTCATGGTTTGACTTGATTTGTGAGTGCTACAAAAGCTCCGGCTTCATGTATAGACAGCGCTCTAGATCTTGCATGGAAAGGCAGACCTTCGAACGCTTAGCAACTATCAGAACAGCCATCAAAACGTGGCGGATAGTTGGATAATATTACGAGCCCATATAGATGATCCACCTATTTTTGAAGAGCTAAGTGAGTAAAATGAGCCCCTGACTCAGATAACTAACCTGAATTAAATCAACCACCTAAATCAGATACCCAGCTGATTCAAATAATCCAACTAAATTAGATGACCAACCTTCTCAGATCAACCAACTACCTCAGATGTCCCAAATTACTCAACCTGCCTAAATCAGATGACCAACCTCTGATTAACCAACTGACTAAAGTGATCCACCCAAATGAAATGGTCCACCTGACTCCGATGACCCACCTGAATCAGAGACCAGCATCACATAGCCTAACCAGCTAGCTCAGATGACCCACCTGAATCAGAGACAAACATAGCTTAGACTAACCAAAAGACTCAGATGACCCACGTGACACAGAGACCAGCTGACGCAGAGAAAAACATCAGTTAGTCTAAGCAGCTGACTCAGAAGAACCATCTGATTCAGATAACCCACCTGGCTGAGATGATCTATCTGATTCAGTTAACCCACCTGAATCAACTGATCTACCTGAATTAGGGGTGGCGAATGGTAAATGCGAGACTTAACGAGACGACGAGATTAGCGTTTTTCTTTGCGAGCCCGAGACACTTTGATTTCTTCAATTGCGAGACCGAGACTTCAAAGTGTTTTAAATGCGAACTCAAGACGTTCAGGGTCTAAGATGTTGTGATGTCATTTAACTTTATAAAAAAAAAAAGGCAAATCGGTACTTGACGACTTTCTTAGCCTTGAAAAAAATCGAGACTGCGAGACGCACATAACCGCTAAAAAACGAGATTGCGAGACCCGTGAAATTTGGCGAAATTTTGCGAGACCATTGGTTTTTAAAGGACCATTCGCCACCCCTTGAATTAGATGATTCGCCTTACTTATATCGCATAAGTCAGATTGACCGACCTGATTCAAATGATCCACCTTCTTCAGATTTCCCATTTGAATCAGATGACTCACCTGACTCAGAGAGCTTGAAACAGATTACCCACTTGCGTCAGATGACAAATCTGGCTTAGATGGCCTCTGATTCAGAAGGCACACTTCTCCCAGCTGGATCAAATAACCTACTTGAATCAGGTAAATCAAACCAACTAATTAAGATGGCGGTCACTAGATGACCAACTTTAATCAGATGTTTCAGCTTACCTAAATGACCCTCCTAACTCAAATGAACGATCTGACTCACATGATCTACATAACTCAGATGAACCAACTGATTGAGACGACCCAACTAACTCAGATGACTCGCCTGATTAAGATGACTCCCTGAGTTAGCAACTGCATGATTAAAAAATATTCAAACACATTTTTTGGCCACATCTTAAGGGTGGTTTTTTAGTGGTTTTTCGTATCTGGCGTAGCACAGGTTCTAAACTGCATGTTAGAGCGGTTTTCATTTGAGTGTCGAAAGTAATTAGACAATTACTTTGGTTTTGGTTTTGGTTTTACTACGGTTTGAGATTGGCTGAGTAATCTAATTGGTATGTAACTGGTTTGGTTTTGGTTTTACGACACTCAATTGAAAACCGCTCTAAAACCAATAGTTGTAATTAGCAAGGATAAAGATTGTGTTATAAGACGGAATACGTCTACGTTAGATGACTGACTGACGCATCCTTAATAAACTATTCACATTGAATGTCTCGTGTTAGTGTAGTCAGAATCCATATCATCCTGCAGAGCAAGTTGAGGGCTATCTACTAAACTAGGTTATCTAATAGGTACATTCTGAGATCCATTTACCTGCCTGTCCCAATATTTAGGTTAAAGAACCATTATTTCTTAAAATAATCACAATCGTGTCGTGTTACGCTCGAGGCTTAAGGCCACTTCATGAATGAATTGGTTTAATAAGAAGATTGTTGAAAATTAGTAAAATGAAGGAAAGGAGTAAGTGGGTTGAAATAGATATTTTGATATTAAGCTTTGGCTGTTTTTTTTCTGTCCAGGAATCCTCTACTGTGCTTTAAGATTTTTTGAAGCATGTTAGTTTTAGCCCTATTTCGGATCTCCACGCGTGCAACACACGCGTGAACATTTCTCGAACTGGCCAGTGTCTGGATTGGAGATTCCCGCTCATGTCATTTTGCCTTCGTCTCGCGCATCCTAGCGCGTTTAGCAATGTGCCCCAGTCGCGTCTTAGGTCTCGCAATCCTTAGCTACATCTAATGGGTTTTCGATAGATGTCAGTTTTGGCCTTCCTTAAAAACTTTATACGTATTTTGCACGCGTAGAATTCTACCGAACTGGACAGTGGGTGAGTTAGAGATTCTTGCCCGCCCATGCCATTTTTGTTTCTTCTGGTGCGTCCTCGCGCGTTTGGCGATGTGCCACAGTCGCGACTTCGGCGTCCGGATTCTGAACTATGCTTAACAGGTTTTTGAAAGATACTAGTTTTGGCCATTCCTTAAATCTACACACCTGTATTTTACGCGTGGAAGTCTATCGGATTAAAGAGTGCCTTGTTTATAGATTCTCGCACATGTCATTTGTCTTTCATTTCGTGCGACCTCGCGAGTTTGGCTTTGCCCCACGCTGGTGTTTTCAGTGTCGGGATCCTTGAGACGATTAAGAAGGATTTCTCGTTTTCCAAGATTTGGCGTTACTAGCCGTTTTTAAGGCGAAGGTCGACGTCATTCCTATCAGGGACTTTTTTTTCTCACCTCTTGTAAAATTTAAAATTGCACAGTGCATAGGTTAAAGATTCTCGCCCATGGCATTTTTTTTGTTCTGGCGCATCCTCGCGCTTTTGGCGATGTGCCATACTTGCGCTTTTGGTGTCTTCATCCTAAACTATGCTTAATGGATTTTTTAAAGATGCTAGTTTTGGCCCTTACTCAAATCTCCACACGGGTATATCACTCATGGAAGTCTATCAAATTGAACATTGCGTTGAATGGAGATTCTCACTCATGCCATTTTTTTTTTTTTCATCTTCTGCGTCGTCGCTCGTTTAACGATGTGCCACAATCGCATTTTGAAGTGTTTTTGTTGAAAGACGCCATTTTAAACCCTGCGTCAACTCTACACGTGCTTTTCACCCAGAGAATTCTACCAAATTGAACAGTGCTTAAGATGGCAATTCTCGCTAATGTAATTTATCTTTCATTTCGCACTCCGTTCTCATGCGCTTAGAGATGTGCCACACTCCTGTTCTCGGTGTCGAGATCCTTAACTATGCTTAATGGGTTTTTGAAAGAGGCAAGTTTTGGCCCTCCGTAAAATATCTACACGAGTTTTTCACGCACAGAACTCTACCAAATTGGATAATGCGTGAGATGGCGATTTTCGCAGACGTAATTTTCCTTTCATTTCGGGCGTCGTCACGCGTTTAATTTAGAAATGTGCCACACTCGCGTTCTCGGTGTCGAGATCCTTAACTATGCTCTTTGCGTGTACGAAGCTCGCGCAATGGTTACTTTAAAATTTCACAAACCAGAAGATTACGCAGCTTTACAATTCAAATTCTGATAGTTATTTGAATCAACCCAAAACCTTCTGTTAAACAACACTTTTAAGACATAACAACACTTAAAAGTAATATTTACCGGGCCGTGGAATAGTCCAAATGTCGCAAACCTTCAACTGAGGTTAGCAAGTCCACTAGCTGCTGTAATTCGCATCGCTTTTGAGAATAGAAGGGTTGTGAACTTAAAAGTTCATTTAATCGCTTTTAAAAGTTTGATGCCCATTTTTTTCGGCGATTCGAGTTTTCTTTAGAATATTTTCTTTTATTTTAATTAAGCTCCGTGTTTTATTTGAGTTTTTCGTGGCGCAATGAACTCTGGTGAAAATGGCTCAGTGTACTCTGGTTAAATGCAATGCATTCTGGTAAANCCCCCCCCCACCCTTTCCCGCCTTATATATTGTTCTAAAATTTTGACCATTTTGCTGCTCGCTCTCTACGCTCGCTCTCAGCAATAAACTTGATATGTCTAGGGCGTAAACAAAATGGGTGGACCCCCTTTGTGTCCTGGAAGGAGTATAAATTTACTTGTACTGCTGGGAGAAAGATCATGTCGAAAAATTTTACACGCAAGTTAACTGTAACTTGCAAGTCAACGTGTAAGTTACAAAGCAGTATTTTCCAGTCCCGTTTCTTTGTTACTGTCAGCGTCATAACAGGGTGCGTAACTATAGTTTGTGTCAGCCATATCCAAATAAGGACAATGGTTTAACATCATCCGTTCCAGTTGTCCCCGGATGACAGTGAATGAAAGCCTTTCAGCGGGATTTTCTTTCCAACACTGTCGCATCAATTCATACCTGAGAAAAAATGAGTGGCGTGTTTCAGTTAACATTTCATGAACAGAACGGAGTGAGATAAAAAAAAAGTAAGCTTACATCTCATCCGAGCACATTTGTGGTTTGTCCATTCTGTATCCAGATTTCAGAGCCCCCAAAAGTTTATGATTGCTGATGGTAGGATATGGAGTCCCACCTAGATACAGAGGAGAAGGGAAAATAGATATAATATTATATCAACTTAGCTAGGAAGCCAAAAGGATATATCTCCCAAAATAGCAAGGCGAAAGCAGAGAGGCTACGCACCGATTGTTAAAATCTCCCAAAGTAGAATACCATACGCCCACCTGTTGATATGAATGACATCATGGCACTATCAGATTTAGGGATTTTGGAAAACAACTTCAAGGAGAAAAGAAAACGACTACCATCCATAAGGCTAAGCATCTTAACCAGCTTAGAAAATTTGCCTTTAGCAACTTTTCTATATATCCTGAGCCGTAATACCAGTGTCATACCTCACAATAGCAAATGAAAAACCGAAGCTCCGTGGTAAAAAAAAAAAAAAACTATTGTCACCAAATGATTAAAAAAGATTAACTGCGAACCAAAACTAATTTTATTTGAGTACCTAAATCAGGAGACTCCACTAACTTTGGCTAGATTGGATTTGATTAAACCCACTGATTAGGAACCTCGCCGTCTCCCCTCACGTGATATTTTTAAACTTACACGTCGCTCTCTGCGTTAAACACTTGATCATGAATGGCTTCCGGTGACATCCATTTGGTTGGCAGCTTTCTGGACTTTGTAGCATGGTACACTTTCCCAACGTACACGTTACGCGACAATCCAAAGTCAGCTACCTTCACTAGCTTGCCTTCACAAACGAGAACATTTCTCGCCGCTAGGTCACGATGGACGAATCCTTTACCTGACAAAAACTCGTATGCAAAATAAGAAAGGGAAATTTTGGTCACTTCAACAACAATTGCTTAACCAACAAAAATCTTTTTAGCAGACAAAAACAGCAATATTCAATAGATCATCAAAGTATCATTCTTAATATTGCAAATATAAATAAGTAGCTGTTATTACAGTTGAACCTGCGGTCAAATATTTTTTTGTTAAAAAAGGCATATAAACGAGGCGAACGGGTCAATACAAAGCAGAATTGACCCTTTCGACTCGTTTGCATGTCAAACCACTGATACCTGTAATAACAGCTATCGCAAACACTTTGGCCAATCTCTACATTATAAACGTAATCTAACTCATACCATTCCCTTCGCTATCTGCCATGCGAACGTCGTTAGGTCAGCGGGTGTGAGAGTATCATCGTCATGTAAGTTGTCTCTATTTGTCATGAAATCCCTTTCTGGTTCACTGTCATCTCGGATACTCCGATGAGCGATTGTTTCGCATCTGTTTTTTCCACTGGTGAACTGAAAAGGGACGAAACACTCACAAGGCTGTTGGAATGCATTAAACACTAATTTGAATATTTTAATACAATTTTTTAAATCGTAAATTTTTAACGGTTTGTCGGTTCAAGGGCCTCTTTCACTGATAAATTTGAAAGTGTTCCAGTGTATCAATATTAATAAATCTTTGGAATAAAACTTTGTGTTTTATGGCACACACATCACTAACGTTTCAGGAAAATCTATCGAGCCGTGTTTTAGATATTTGAAAAAGCACTAAAAATCAAAACTTACCCGAAAACTATAATGGGCGTGACCTTAAGAGAGTGTATCAATATTAATAAATCTTTGGAATAAAACTTTGTGTTTTATGGCACACACATCACTAACGTTTCAGGAAAATCTATCGAGCCGTGTTTTAGATATTTGAAAAAGCACTAAAAATCAAAACTTACCCGAAAACTATAATGGGCGTGACCTTAAGAGAGTGTATCAATATTAATAAATCTTTGGAATAAAACTTTGTGTTTTATGGCACACACATCACTAACGTTTCAGGAAAATCTATCGAGCCGTGTTTTAGATATTTGAAAAAGCACTAAAAATCAAAACTTACCCGAAAACTATAATGGGCGTGACCTTAAGAGAGTGTATCAATATTAATAAATCTTTGGAATAAAACTTTGTGTTTTATGGCACACACATCACTAACGTTTCAGGAAAATCTATCGAGCCGTGTTTTAGATATTTGAAAAAGCACTAAAAATCAAAACTTACCCGAAAACTATAATGGGCGTGACCTTAAGAGAGTGTATCAATATTAATAAATCTTTGGAATAAAACTTTGTGTTTTATGGCACACACATCACTAACGTTTCAGGAAAATCTATCGAGCCGTGTTTTAGATATTTGAAAAAGCACTAAAAATCAAAACTTACCCGAAAACTATAATGGGCGTGACCTTAAGAGAGTGTATCAATATTAATAAATCTTTGGAATAAAACTTTGTGTTTTATGGCACACACATCACTAACGTTTCAGGAAAATCTATCGAGCCGTGTTTTAGATATTTGAAAAAGCACTAAAAATCAAAACTTACCCGAAAACTATAATGGGCGTGACCTTAAGAGAGTGTATCAATATTAATAAATCTTTGGAATAAAACTTTGTGTTTTATGGCACACACATCACTAACGTTTCAGGAAAATCTATCGAGCCGTGTTTTAGATATTTGAAAAAGCACTAAAAATCAAAACTTACCCGAAAACTATAATGGGCGTGACCTTAAGAGAGTGTATCAATATTAATAAATCTTTGGAATAAAACTTTGTGTTTTATGGCACACACATCACTAACGTTTCAGGAAAATCTATCGAGCCGTGTTTTAGATATTTGAAAAAGCACTAAAAATCAAAACTTACCCGAAAACTATAATGGGCGTGACCTTAAGAGAGTGTATCAATATTAATAAATCTTTGGAATAAAACTTTGTGTTTTATGGCACACACATCACTAACGTTTCAGGAAAATCTATCGAGCCGTGTTTTAGATATTTGAAAAAGCACTAAAAATCAAAACTTACCCGAAAACTATAATGGGCGTGACCTTAAGAGAGTGTATCAATATTAATAAATCTTTGGAATAAAACTTTGTGTTTTATGGCACACACATCACTAACGTTTCAGGAAAATCTATCGAGCCGTGTTTTAGATATTTGAAAAAGCACTAAAAATCAAAACTTACCCGAAAACTATAATGGGCGTGACCTTAAGAGAGTGTATCAATATTAATAAATCTTTGGAATAAAACTTTGTGTTTTATGGCACACACATCACTAACGTTTCAGGAAAATCTATCGAGCCGTGTTTTAGATATTTGAAAAAGCACTAAAAATCAAAACTTACCCGAAAACTATAATGGGCGTGACCTTAAGAGAGTGTATCAATATTAATAAATCTTTGGAATAAAACTTTGTGTTTTATGGCACACACATCACTAACGTTTCAGGAAAATCTATCGAGCCGTGTTTTAGATATTTGAAAAAGCACTAAAAATCAAAACTTACCCGAAAACTATAATGGGCGTGACCTTAAGAGAGTGTATCAATATTAATAAATCTTTGGAATAAAACTTTGTGTTTTATGGCACACACATCACTAACGTTTCAGGAAAATCTATCGAGCCGTGTTTTAGATATTTGAAAAAGCACTAAAAATCAAAACTTACCCGAAAACTATAATGGGCGTGACCTTAAGAGAGTGTATCAATATTAATAAATCTTTGGAATAAAACTTTGTGTTTTATGGCACACACATCACTAACGTTTCAGGAAAATCTATCGAGCCGTGTTTTAGATATTTGAAAAAGCACTAAAAATCAAAACTTACCCGAAAACTATAATGGGCGTGACCTTAAGAGAGTGTATCAATATTAATAAATCTTTGGAATAAAACTTTGTGTTTTATGGCACACACATCACTAACGTTTCAGGAAAATCTATCGAGCCGTGTTTTAGATATTTGAAAAAGCACTAAAAATCAAAACTTACCCGAAAACTATAATGGGCGTGACCTTAAGAGAGTGTATCAATATTAATAAATCTTTGGAATAAAACTTTGTGTTTTATGGCACACACATCACTAACGTTTCAGGAAAATCTATCGAGCCGTGTTTTAGATATTTGAAAAAGCACTAAAAATCAAAACTTACCCGAAAACTATAATGGGCGTGACCTTAAGAGAAGGTCTCGTTCTTGAAATCGCGATAAAGAAAACATACAAAACTTTCATAGTTTCATAACATATCTTAAAGACGCATTTTAGTATTATCACTGCACGGTAAAACATAGAAAATGGAACAAATTTCTACTCTGCTTCAGTTAATTTAGTCCTTTTGTGATGGCGTACGGTAGAGATCTATTTAATAGGCCTGTCTCCTTCTTTTCTTTTTGTTTTTTGTGTTTGTCAGTCCTTTTCATTTTTTTCTTTTTAATACGAAATTGTGAAACTAGTATTATAGTAACTTTTAAAAAGAACAAAATACAAAAAAATTGAAAAAAAATTGTGCTCAACTGTCGGTTCATTTGCTATTATGCTGAAAAAAGTATAATTTAAAAAGTTTTGCGATTTACTCTGGATCAAGGATTCCGAATTTTTTATTTTTGTATATTCTGTTTGCCATACAGCATAATTTAAGGCATTGATATTAGCTTTTTCATATCAGATCTGGTTCGATCAAAATTTGTATTTTATCGATTTTTAAATTTTTGGCTTATCGTTTCCATGNGTTTCGTAACATAACTTAAAGACGCATTTTAGTATTATCATTGCATGGTAAAACATAAAAGAATGGAACAAATTTCTACCCTGCTTCAGTTAATTTAGTCTTTTTGTGATGGTGTATGTTGAGATCTATTTAATAGGCTTCTCTCCTTCCTTTCTTTTTGTTTTTTGTTTGTGTCAGTCCTTTTCATTTTTTTTTCGCTTTAATGCAAAATTGTGAAACTAGCATTATAGTAACTTTCAAAAAGAACAAAATACAAAAAAATTGAAAACAATAGCGCTCAGCTGTCGGTTCATTGCTATTATGCTGAAAAAAGTATAATTTGAAAAGTCTTGCGATTTACTCTGGATCAAAGATTCCGAACTTTTTATTTTTGTATATTCTATTTGCCATACAGCATAACTTAAGGCATTGATATTAGCTTTTTCATATCAGATCTGGTTCGATCAAAATTTGTATTTTATCGATTTTTAAATTTTTGGCTTATCGTTTCCATGGAAATATCGATTGTCTTAAACATAACTTATACCAAACTTCAATCCATTTCAAATATTGGTGCAATTTTCATATCGATCCGACTTAAGGAAGACTTTTAAAAAGCTGATTGAAAATGGTTGGTATAGTCGAGAAAAAGCTGTATCGAGACACCTGATATACAGCAAATGGTAACATTAAAACTACTTTTTACATGCTTTTAATAACAAAATCGTCGCAATAGCATTATTACGCCTCTGTCTAAGTTGCTTTTGCACACAACCATAAATTAATCTCGTGTCGAGAAGGCCCGCCCTTTCCATTTCCAACCACGCGAATTTGAAAGTGAAATTAGTTAAGTTGCTTTTGATGGATATCAATTACATTTTTTGATGTCAGCTCACTGTTACTGTTTCGGAGAATTCAGAGTATTTACAAAGAATGGAGGAGCTGAATTCCGCGCTAACGTAACGAACGCAAATTCAACCAATGTTCGGGACAAACATTTGAAGACGGGGGCTATGGATCTCATTCTGTTTCCAGCTCCCTAACCAGTAACCGCCTCCGTCTCCCTTCTCTACAGAACGTGCAAATTAAAGCGAATACAATGAGTTGAAAATGTATACTTTACGTCATATAAGCTTCCTTCATTTATGACCTCCATGTTTTGATATCTTGAGTGCTGAGGCGCTGCTTCTCCCATCGCTTCAAAAGCTTGCTTGATCTAAAATTCAAAACAAAAGCGATTTCTTCGGCAGGAGCCTGTACTTTTACAATGTCTCAGTCTACTTAAAAGAATTAGCAGATTGTAGAACCTAGGGCAATCTTTCAATGTTATACGGACAAGACATTTTAATGAAATTCATAGTTATATAATATTGGTATATAAAGAGCTCAGGGAAATAAATTGTTTATAAAAATCTTCGCACGTTTCCACCCTCTCCTCCAAAATTAAAAAAAGAAAACGATAATTGAAAAAACCGGAAGGAAAAGGCATTTCAAAACAACGTGAAGAAACAAAACACAATGTGAGGGATCGTAATTATGTTTCAGTACCCGTTCAACGGCGCCTCATCTCTTTCATTTGCTAATGCTTCAATTAGAACAAAACAAGGTATTGTTGGTAAGTAGGCTTTTAAGACTTACTTACCAAATAGGAAGTAAGATTATCAGTTATCTTATAGTACCTGCTCTCTTCTTTTCCTGAGGTAGTGAAGTAAATCCCCATTCTTTGCAAACTCCACTACAAGGAACATGGGATTTGTCATAGTACAGCAGGCCAATAAATTCAATATGTTTCGGTGATACCCGATTTGTTTCATGAGCTGTATTTCCTCTCGAAATTCTTGTATTTGTTCTTCCGCAGCGCCATCTAGTAGAGCAAAAACAAAAAAATATTTTTGTTACCAAATAGTTTTTTTTTTTTTAACGATATGTTTACCTTCTAATACTTTTAACGTGTTAACCGGTATTTAAACTGTTCAACAACCTTTCGTATAAACTGCAAGTTGTCTAGTGACAAAGATATAATGTTCCTTAGTTCTTCACGGCTTTCTCCCAGGTCTCCACGGTCAATTGATTTGGTACAGTGCAAATCCGGGCCTGTACGCAAACATGTAACAAACCTCTTTAGAGAAGAGAATGAAAAAAAGATATAATTACATAACTATATTTATAGGCTATAGAAAGCTGACAGAAGCAAATCGTATACTTTGCAACATTTTCACAGCAACGGTCAGGCCCTCTTTCGTTTGTTGTTGTTTCTTGTCCGTCTTACGCGGCGATTTCCTTCCTTTTCCAACCTCCATAGTTTGTTTTAGAAGCTGGCCTCTGTACACTTTTCCAAAAGCCCCTTCTCCAATGATTCTATGCAAGGAAATGTCATCAAAAAGGACTTCCCACGGATCTAAGAGTTCTGAATTAGATCTGAAAAATATCCATAGAAGAATCAAGAGCTCAGGCCTTCCTAAGATAATATCCTCTATAGAATACTTTCTCGAAATTTCTTTTGTTATGCTTCTGAGAAATTTTAAATGTTGAGGCTAGGAACGTGTTGGAATAAAGAGAAAAAAAAATCGTTTTTATACACACCCGACGCACTTAAAAAGAAATTTCAGAAACGATATTAAAACTGTTTTCAAATCGCAGTAGTTTGATATACAAACTATGAGACTCGATGTAAATTTCGCCCTTCGAGCCTCGCCCGCCATATTTTGCTTTTCAACAAAGTCACATTGTACCCATTGTAGCACGAGAATTGGATCAACATTTAATTTTCCTTTTGTATTTATTGATATTGGTATGTTACTCTACGTAGTATACACCACAGCCTTATACTGTTTATTGTGCTGCAACAACTTTATACCGCTCTCAAATGAACTTCATAACTGACTTTTTTCACTCCTTTCATTCAGATTAAATAGCCCTGCCCTGTCCTAATTCATAACATTTTTTTTTTGAAAAGCGAGTATTATATCATCTAAAGCAGACCAAGCTGTCAAAGATACTTACCGAGTTCTTCTGCGATATCTTAAGGCAAACCACAGTAATCCACTTAAACAAAGTAAAGCCAAAAGGGAGCTGCCCACAATCTTCGCTACCAGTAGCAAAGAGGATTCACCAGTACCATGATAAGTCTCATTGTTGTGGAGAAAATTACCTTCTACAAAGAAAGAGGAAAATGCAGCAAAGCCATGTTGAGAATGAATCTATTTCTTTGACACGAAATTTTACCGCATCAGTTTTGCTTTTGCTTTATTTATAAACAGGAGAAGTCTATTTTAAAATTGTTGTTATTGTTATCATTATTATTTCAGTCTATCTGCAAATTACTCTGGAAGCTCCAAACAATGTCATTTTATTACAATTAACATGCCTTTGAGAGAGTAATTAACTCGAAACATCAACACCGTTACAGCATTTTTCAGTGATTACAAAACAACAAGAATCATACAAAGTCTACACTGGTTGTCATGGCAACAATTATAAAAAAATTTGAAATGACTTTAAGGAAAAAATATAAATAAAGGCACGTANCCATAGAAGAATCAAGAGCTCAGGCCTTCCTAAGATAATATCCTCTATAGAATACTTTCTCGAAATTTCTATGGTTATGCTTCTGAGAAATTTTAAATGTCGAGGCTAGGAATGTGTTGGAATAAAGATAAAAAAAAATTGTTTTTATACACATTCGACGCACTTAAAAAGAAATTTCAGAAACGATATAAAAACTGTTTTCAAATCGCAGTAGTTCGATATACAAACTATGAGACTCGATGTAAATTTCGCCTTTCGAGCCTCGCCCGCCATATTTTGTTTTTCAACAAAGTCACATTGTACCCACTGTAGCACGAGAATTGGATCAATATTTAATTTTCCTTTTGTATGTGTTGATATTGGTATATTACTCCATGTAGTATACACCACAGCCTTATACTGTTTATTGTGCTGCAACAACTTTATACCTCTCTAAAATGAGCTTCATAACTGACTTTTTTCACTCCTTTCCGCGAATAAATCATTCTAAAGATTAAATAGCCCTGCCCTGTCCTAATTCATAACAGTTTTTTTTTGAAACGCGAGCATTATATCATCTAAAGCAGACCAAGCTGTCAAAGATACTCACCGAGTTCTTCTGCGATATCTTAAGGCAAACCACAGTAATCCACTTAAACAAAGTAAAGCCAAAAGGGAGCTGCCCACAATCTTCGCTACCAGTAGCAAAGAGGATTCATCAGTACCATGGTAAGTCTCATTGTTATGGAGAAAATTACCTTCTACAGAGAAAGGGGAAAATGCAGCAAAGCCATGTTGAGAGTGAATCTATTTCTTTGACACGGAATTTTACCGCAGTTTTGAATCTTTTGCTTTATTTATAAACACGAGAAGTCTATTTTAAAATTGTTGTTATTGTTATCATTATTATTGCAAATTACTCTGGAAGCTCCAAACAATATCATTTTATTACAATGAACACGCCTTTGAGAGAGTAATTAACTCAAAACATCAACACCGTTATAGCATTTTTCAGTGATTACAAAACAACAAGAATCATACAAAGTCTACAGTGGTTGTCATGGCAACAATTATAATTATGCAAAAAAACAATGACTTCCACATTTCTACAAAAAAAATTTGAAATGACTTTAAGGACAAAATATAAATAAAGGCACGTACCTTTACATTTGTGCAAATTGCAGCTCTCTGTGAAGATATTTGTCCCATGGCAATCCTTCCTGTTCCATTTTGGCGCTGGATTAGAACATGTGCGATTGCGTGTTCTGTTTCCCCTTCCACACGTCATGCTGCATGGTTGCCATGACGACCACTGACTCCAGCTACCATTCACTGAAGATTAAAAGAAACAATTCATGACATAAGAGCTTTATAGAGTGTATAAACTACTGAAGTTTTGAATTTTAAAAAATTGATCGGCTTATACTCTAAAATAATGTTTCAAGATGCAGCTTTTTTAAAAAAATATGTCTTCACGGATCACCATAAAAAAGTGGTTTTAAGGTTTTCGTTCAGTGTCCCAATTCAGTGGACTGGAGCAGCCAAGAGCGTCATCAAGGGAGGTACTTAAATACTAGTTGCTCATTCACAAATTTTAAGAACTAATTACGAAAATTAATATTTAGATCAGTTGACTGGGGACTGAAACGCTAATGATCTTACATAACATTATGATTAGTTAGCAAATATAAGGGTTTAAGTGTGTTTTAACACAGATCACAAGAAAACGTTTCTTTACTTATAATTTGCCCGATCGATCAACAACACTGTCCGAACAATTTCTGTGTCATTTAACAACCCTGAAATGGCCTGAACACAGATAGTTCTTGGTAATACCGGTACACTCTTTATTATTTACTTATTTTATTTATTATTATTATTTTTAAAAAAAATCATTTTATAAGAATATCGAGGCTGTAATTTGCAAAATTTTAGAATATTTTAAGAATTAACCCGAAGCTGAACATATCAATTAAGCGGCCCTCCTCGGAGAAATGGGAGGTGACGGCCCAATTAGTGGGTTTCACGTGACGTCACAAGCTTTGATCAAATCAGTGTCCGCTATGTTGGTGTCCCTCGGGTGTCAAATTTATGCTAATAATATAGTCCATTTCTACAGTGAAGCTTCTCTATTATCGCTCTATTATTTCGACAATTACATGAATTTCCAGAAAGAAGAAACGGTAAAAGTACCGGGCATTCATCTTAAGGTACCCCAGTGTTCTCTGAGTATGCCAAAAGCTTAGAGAGTCGAGAAAAGGAAAGATATTGGCAAAAGATCTCGGTCATCGGGGTTGACCCAGCAAGCATAACAGCCGAGCAGTTCAGTCCAGAACGGTTGCTTCCTGTGGAAGTCTCGGACTTGCTGAGTTACCTCGTTCTTGAGACCAGCTTCTACACCAATAAGCAGTTCAAGGCGTTCAAGAGTCTGGAGGCGTTTAATCAAATGGTGTCGGGATTTGTAACCTCATTTGTAGGCAAAGTAATCGCCGCAAGTATGTCGTGAGAGCAAGTGTTCAGCATTCACAGCGTATGAATGATCCTTTAGTGAAAATTTGGGTCATTTCCGAAAACGATGGGACTATTTTGTCAGCCAATTGCTTGGGATGCAAAGCTGGACTGGCTGAGTCATGCTCACATATCGCGAGTGTTTTATTTTATTTAGAGGCAACTACACGAATTCATGGCAAGCTCGTTTGCACACAGGTAAAATGCTCATGGATTTTGCCGACATATGTCAATGAAGTGCCGGATGCCAGGGCCAAGGACATCGATGTTTCATCGGCTAACAAGGTCAAAGAAAAGTTCGACCAGAAAATTGAGGATCTACAACAGCCGCAAGCCTCAAACCATGCAGCAGCTTCTAGTTCTGGGACTGCATTAGCCGGCGCCTCAGCGCATGCAGCGCCCATCGGCACCTTCGAAAGAGGAAATGGATCAGCTTTATGCCAAACTCAACCAGTGCAAAATTAAAGCAGTAGCTTTAAATTTAATTGATCCTTTTGCAGACCAATTTATCGACCAAAGCCGCTCTGTTCCGGTAGTTTCAGAGCGAAGTGTTTGCTACAAACTGGTTCACTCTCTAGCACTCTCTTGTTTGTAGCGTCGCTGCGACTCACCACAGAAATCCACTCGTTTGTCCTCCTAATAGTGAGATCCTCCAGTTCTTCCCTTTGATTTGTAATAATCTTAGGTATACGAAAAAACCCTTAACCTTTACGATTTCCCATTTTTGCTCGAACAGCCAACAACAACGCGTAAAACCATCCCTTCTTTCTCACATGAACTCTTCTTTGGATACGCTTTGTTTGCGCTTGAGGGATCGACACCAAGATGGCGGAGAGTAACCGTTGTTAAGCTATTGGTCACGTGGGTGAAACCCAAGAATAGGGGTTGGCCGGCCGCAGCATAGAGGTTGGTGTACCTTGAATATTCTTCACCATCGGGTTAATTTCTGAGTTAACATGATGCCACTTCAAGACAATCACTTTCTATTTCAGACTCTTATCTGACATTGCCTTTTCCAAAACAAAGGTAATTTATGTATCACGACTTTACAGTATTTTACTGACAATAATTTCGGAACATTGATAACTGGCCGCTTAATAGATGTTCAACTATATATCACCGCTGTTACTTTAATGTATTTTATACTTTTAATTAACATATTTTAGACCTTAATTTTTAAAGGGCCCTCCTGAAAACCAACACCAGGTGACTGGAGGGCTCTTCTTAACTTCAAAGATATGTTTGGACAGATTAATTCCCCTTTCATCTTCAGTTGATTGATGTACTTAGCGTTGGAAGTAGAATTTGTAAGTAGAAACATGCTAATTGTGACAACAAAATGACCACAAACATGAAAGTGTGAGAATTATAAGGAGTTTTAGATTTACATAGTGTAATTGTTGATTCAAACTTAAGAGGGTTGTACTCTTTGAATATGAATAGCCTCTCTTGTATTAAGTTCGAAACTACTGGAGGTGTGATCCAAAACATAGAAACAATCTGCTGAACAAGGGGTGCGACATTAATATTGAGAATTCTGCAGATGCTTGCAAATGAGAGAGGCCTTATCACTGGATAAATGCTCTCTCACAAATATTATTATTTTGCATGACAACTCGCTTCTTAAACTCGCCAGTTCCGTATTCTTCTTGCGGCTTTAAATGTGGCCCGTTTATTAATGCTTCGCTGGTACTGTTTAAGTTTCTGTCATGCGAGAAATGGCACCCTGCCCAAGCAAATAAATTAATTGTCATAAGCATATCGCACAATTATAAAACACAGCTCAGTCAGTTCTTGGTGATGTACAATCGTATGCAATAAGCTGTTTATCGACTTAACAAAAAGCCCACAGCTCTGCGCAAAATTGTNTCTTGTATTAAGTTCGAAACTACTGGAGGTGTGATCCAAAATATAGAAACAATCTGCTGAACAAAGGGTGTGACATTAATATTGAGAATTCTGCAGATGTTTGAAAATGAGAGAGGCCTTATCACTGGATAAATGCTCTCTCACAAATATTATTATTTTGCATGAAACCTCGCTTCTTAAACTCGCCAGCTCCGTATTCTTCTTGCGGCTTTAACTGTGGCCCGTTTATTAATGCTTCGCTGCTACTGTTTAAGTTTCTGTCATGCGAGAAATGGCACCCTGCCCAAGCAAATAAATTAACTGTCATAAGCATATCGCACAATTATAAAACACAGCTCAGTCAGTTCTTGGTGATGTACAATCGTATGCAATGAGCTGTTTATCGACTTAACAAAAAGCCCACAGCTCTGCGCAAAATTGTTCACGGCTGTCATATTTATGAACTCTATGAGAAATCCTCTAAAAGAACAAAAACGGTGCTCAAAAAGTTTAGGACAAAACCTTTCAAAAATAGAAAGTAATTCAGGCTTTAAAAATATTCCAGTTATATACGTAATTGAGGGGGGAAGGCTGGCAAGGTTGGCACGTTGGTGTCCGCTTTGAAACCATGGCAACGCCAATGCATTAGAGTGAAGGAAAAATAATGTCAAAAACACTTTTCCCCCTTTAATAATATTCCAATAATTGGTTAAATGATTCGGCAGTTTCGCCTTTGTACCCTAAAGAGTATTAGCCCGTAAAAGGGATAGTTCCTGTTCTAGAATATATACTGCTTCTGGTCAGAGGTAAATGGGAGATAAACCTTTCGATGCTTTAATCTAAAACGAATTAATCATCTATGAAATTATAAGTGCCAAAGTAAAGTAAAGTGTTAAAGTAAACTACATAAGCGCTGGTTCACTTGCAGGCGAAAATGTTTTCAGGGACAATGCGACTGAGTGAGTGATGGAATAAAAGACGTTTTCTATGGCTGAAATTAGAACATTGTTGCTTTCAGAATGGTATCTTCTGGAACTATCGATGAATAACACCTACTTGACTGCGAAGTCTTGCTCTGCAAAAAGCCGCCACTCGGCCTAGCCTGTAGTATAACCATTCCGAGGAAAATCAATCTGCAATGAAATATCGCGCTGAAAACAATTCCTCGCTTGAAATGTTCTCGGGAAAGAAGCCTCATCGTGATGGCTTTGCCGGAAAAACGATCATCGCAGAAATTATTGCAGGAAATCTAAAACAAACGTCCAACTTTACAGGTGATATCGGGGAAAGGAATTGTTAATTTGGGTCGGCTGGTTGAGCGGACATCTATCAATCAACAAAAACGTAATCAATTATGTTGGTGAATTGTTTACTTCAACCGACTTCAATATGTCCATATGCCAGTACCAAAGACATTAAAACACACGGTTTTTAGGTCCGAGTAGTTGAGAGCGGAAACATAAACAAGGAAAATCCGATAAGTGGACAATGTTGAGTAAATAGAAATGCAGGCAAATTCAGCTGTGTTCCCTCGGTAACTTACCAGCTTCGCATATCCGTAAT